CAAAGGAAGAAATGGCACAGTCAAAGCAACAATCCAGAAAAATAAGTTGTGCAGCTCTAATTGGACTGACACAAGCAGGCAAGGCTGTCTTGCTCTAGGCAAAGGGAGAGGACAACACAGCACTGAAGGCAAGTATAAATACCTTTACCTGCAAGGATGAAAACTTACAGCTGAATTTAAAAAATGAAAAACTGGCAACATTTGCACAAGATTCTGTGCTCAAGAGAGTGCCCAGAGAAATGCAGGCCTGCAGAACAGGAGGGACCATTCACCCACCAAGACAGGAAAAACCTGAAAAATGAAGTTTCTTTTAACCATTTAGCATATATGCTGGTAGCAGGTGTGGACAAGGTAGTATTCACAAAGACAATTGTTTTCTTTGTGAATAACTGCAGAAAGGCAGGTCTGTCAGACTCAGTGTAAGAGGGAAGCCTTGTTCTACTGCATGTCTGCAGTCATTTTTCTAGATTGAGTAAAATCACCTGTGAGCTGCACTGCTGCACGCAAACATCTTGAAAATGGGCAGTGTGATCTAAGAGATGCAACAACCCTCTTGTTTTTTAATTTGCAGAAACATGAAACTACTTTCATTAATGACTGACTAATTTACTAGCATCCCAAAATGTCTATCAGTAACTTAAAAAAAAAAATAAAAATCAGTACTTTTTAACATTTTCTCTATAGCACCAGCAAACATGGTATTTAGAATAGTCATCTTTCCATATTAGCCACTACTAAGAGAAGTGAAGGATCATTTTGTTGCTCTCACATACACCTCAATTTCTTCTGTGAATTCTAAGTACTCTAGCACATCAACTCTTTTTTCCATTGCTGTTCTGTTTCCTAATCCTCTTCAAGAAATTATTTAGAGTGATCTAGGGGTCTGGATCCTAATTTTTCAATGTGGTTATTCTAATTCTCTCCTGCATTTCAACTACCCAGGTTTACATTATTCTTGTTCGTCTTGCAGGGCTGCATATTTCAGATCATTCAGGTCTTTTTACTATGCTGCGCTGCATTTTTCTTTCTTTTTGCCTCTCTCACATATTTATAAAGGGGAACCACCCCTAGCTGGAGAACAGAGAGTTCAGCCATAACCTCTACCAAATACTCTCAGACATAATTTACTAGCTTGGATGTTATATCTAGCATTGTAACTGATGACTTCATAGTTGGAACATTTAAATTACCACAATTTCTATAGCAATATGAATCTCTTTACATTTTATCAGGATCAACCATGTTCATTTGAAAAGAGTCTATTCTACTATACAGGCCAATCAACATTAAACTGTTCAAAAATGAGTCCTGAATGGCAGCTCTTGCTTATAACTATGTAATACTGAAGTGTATAACCACTTTTAATAAAATGATGGCATCTTGTGGCAGAAACCGGTCACTGCAAGGATTACAGTGTAAGAAACTGACGAAAAAATGTAATTAGTAACCTAAACTGTTAATCTCAAGTATCTGTTTCAGTTTATTTCTTACATCACTACAAAACTGGAAGGTTTGCAGTGTTATTTTGAAAGACTTTTCTTGCCCTAGATTATAAATTACTCTTGGCATCTCACAAGTGATTTAACAGCCCTCTGGGGGTAGGCGGTGACCATTTTTGCAGGTTTTACAGATATTCTCAGTTTTAGGAGATCCACCTATCCAAGCGTTTACCTATTGCCTTCAAAAAGAGCACTGGCAATCATGCAAGAATACTCTGCTGAGCAGGTTGTTTAGGAGGAAGACCATTTTCTCAGACACTAACTTAAATTTTTTTCTTCTCATATCCTGTGAAAATCTAGCACCTCCTCAGGTCTTCTGGCTCCTCATTCCTGCCAGCCCCTCAGCAGAAGCCCACAATGCCTGCGTACAAGAAAAAGGAAGCAAACAGGGTCTTGGAGCACTTCCCTCAGTTTGCAAGGAAAATGTACATTTCATGCTGTAAAGCTGCTTCAGCATAACACAACGTCTGAATGACGCTAAAAACCAGCATCTGCAGCTTCCAACACTTGCTGGGTGCTGCAGAGCACAACTGAACAGCATACCTGTGCTCGTCAGAAAGACCTCAGTAATTGCCATGAATTTGCCATCCCTTAAATGCCTGTGATGTGTTTTTCTAGGCATTTAAGTTACATCGATGTTTTCAACAATATTTCATTAAGCAACTCCAATTCTTTACCTAGCATTTGCTCTTCAGTAGGATCACTCACTGGTAACAATCTGCTACTGTGGTGTTAAACTTCAGTTCCTTGTTTGCTGCTCAGATAGGTATTATTACAAGCATTCAATTTCTTCAATTTTTAATTCTTTTTCCTTACAGGGTACTCAGCTTATTCTTTTGTCTTCTGGATGTTTGAGGGGGGAGGAAATTGTGTTATTAGTTTGAATTTTTCTTATACCTCACTTTTTACTAAAATAGCTTACACCCAGCGTTTTTCTTAGCATATGAAGATGATATCCACGTGCACTGGGGGAGAAGGCAGGAACAATTATACCTTCACTCATTAGGATGCACAGTAATCTTGACATAAAAGCTCTTTGTGACTGTGATACAAATAAGCATGAGCAAACTACTCTGAATTTGTGGACAAACTTGCTGAAAGTGACAAAGAGATGTGGACATGAAAATGAGACTCAAATCACCACCTACCTCCCATGCACTTTGTTTGCTTCTTGTTACTCTGTTGTTACCTTCCCAGTCCCTGCTATGGTATCAGTCTAGCTTAGTATTTAAACGAACACAAAGATCTGCCTAATAACTAGAGTCTCAACAACCCACATAAAGCTTACAGGCTTGAGCTTTTTAGGGCAGAGAACCAGCTTTTTAGAGCAGGAGCTACTTCTGCGTAATGCTCTGTATGCCTACATGAAACAGCATCCTCAAATGTCATCCATCATGTGCTTTCTGGCTTTGGAAAATGAGACACTATTCACCAATATTTGAATGTTAATTTCCTGCAAAAACAGAGAAATACGCTATAACACACTTCAATAGCACAAAGGGTTCTTCTGCTATCTGGCAATTCTGCCTCTTTCTCTCTTTGTTCTACCTCTGGGTGTAATAATTCAGTGGATTAAAAATATTCAAAACCAAGGATTTTTATAAACAAATTTTGCATTACTTCACCTGACAAGTTGGCAACAATCTATAAACAAGAAAGGCAGATGTATAAAATAATCTCTTCGTAAAATTAATTTGCCTTTTGCCCTTTCAGGTAGTATAAAATTTATTGGTGAATACTGACAATACTGTACAATCTGCTACTGCAAAGAAGAGATTAATCCTGCCTTTGGAGTGAACGTAATTCAGTCTGCCCAGATTATAGAAAATGAGCATAAAGACAAGCATTTCTGTATAAGACATCAAGTAACTCCATTTTAGTTGAGTGTTTTTAGTGAGCATTGTTTCAGGACACCGTTACACCAGGAAATGTGTTGTGTGTTGGCTGCACATAGTAAGAATATGCTTGGTACCGACATAATTTTCTCCTGCCATCCACAACAGCGTTTGTTGATCCCAGACACAAAGGACCATTTGGATAACACATTCAGACATGTGGGTGACATTGACCAAGACAAAAGACAGATTTCAAATCATCTTAGGAAACCCATAAACTCTAGTTTCCTACCACAGTTTCTGTAAGGGAATTTCACATTAAATCAGATCCTTCTCTGGGGTCCTGTTTTGACATGACCAGCCAGGGACTATTATGTTTGAATACTACTGAGCAAGACAATTTTAGCCTTCCTTGGCTTCTCAGGTGAGAGAGATGATGTTATGTTTTGTTTATGTTTATGTTATGTTTATGTTTTGCCAAAGCAGCACACGGTCATAAAAGTAAGGGTATGAATTTTTATATTGTTCTGTGAAATTACATGAAAAGAGCATGTAACTGGAAAACTAACATCAGCTTGCACCAAACAATTTTACATCTGCAAATGAGATGCAAAAATCCTTTCTTACAAACGCAGTTGTGTTCACATTTGAGTCTCTCAGAGATGTGTTTGGTCCTGCATCATTGTAGCCTAATGGCTATCACATAAACCTGAGCAGGAAAAGTATCTTCATTTATACATCTGCTTAGCAACTCCAGGCAGTGGTAAGAAACTTGGAGCTTTTTGCATTCTGTGGAAAGCTGTTTTCAGCCATGGATACACAAAATGAATCCTTTTTTCAGCTAGCATGTCGCATAAAATATTTCAAACTAATAATGATGAGAAAACTTGTTTTAGTGATTCCCATAAGCTAGAGAGCAGATGCCATTGCTGTAGATATTAAATCTCAGCATCTTTATTTCTTTCACTGGGGAACATGTATAAATCACATTCATCTTGTATGTTCATTCTCACTGGCTATAGGAAAGCGCAAACTTGTCAGTCAGTCTCTTCTATGATTACTTCACTAGGAGAGGTCTCAAAAGTAGTATCCTGCAGTTATCTGATCTGCCTTAGCTTCTCCAGTCCTCAGGACCCTCAAGGGCTCTCAGAAGAGATCCTTTCCTCTCCTCCTTCACCTTTTGCTCAGAGTGAAAGTATTCAAACTTGTCACCAATTTTGAAAGGGACCACTCAGACCTTTCAAGTCAGCCTCCTTAATGACTACTTTCTAACTTCTGGTCCGAATCTCATCTCACTCTCGTACCATACATGAGTCCATGAAATAACTACCACAGTAACAATAAAATGTCACAGAATAGCCCACTGTATTTAACCTCAGAAATAGTCCTACTGAATTTTGCCGCAGTTCCCTCTCCCAGGCAAATCAGCAGAAGATGACAAGAAGAATCTCTTCAGAGAAAGTATGCAAACCTTTTCATGTCACACCCAGAAAAAATTACTTTTAATATCTGCAGCTAAGTCTGAATCACATTTTGGAAGCCTTAGACAGTATTCCCCACCTTCCCCTTCACCTTCGTTAACATCCATTATCAAGTTGCTGTTTCTCATTATAGTTACACCAATCACAGAAAAACAAAAGCATCCACATAGGGGAATAAAACTCACCATGCTGTTCATTTTTGAAGAGGATGAGTTTGCTCTCTGCTTCTGTAGGCTGTTAAGCTCTTCTGTATTTCCATCCTTTGGTTTTATGATCAGCCGACTGCCTCCAGCAGTACCTTCTGAAGATGATCTCAGTCGTTTCTCAACAAATCTGCTTTCTCTGTATGGACTGAAGCTATTGGCAAGATCAACTACAAACAGAAAAGCAACCAGAAATCACTACAGAGAATTAGCCTCTACAAATACTTTCTAAATGAGAGCATTGCTTTGCTTGAAATGCTTACATTAAAAGGTAGTCACATAAGAGATGTTCTGTAGAAAGCAGATCCTTCTGACCTAGATAAAAGTGTCACCTGGATCACCAGTTCAGGGTTCAGCTATCAATGACTAGCACACTCTGCATGCTACAGCCCAGTCCCATGGCTCCTCACAGACTCCAGAAAGATGTATGCTCCATCCTTTATTTTCTCCCCTCATTCTAGGGCACTTCCAAACCGCTGTCCAGTAAAATCCACCAGAGAAAATATCACTGTTGCCAAAACCTAACCTGTCTTACCCTAAATACTGAGGTTTTACAGGGCCAGCACTGGTACCACTGCATAAGACAGGGATGTACACTGGTTCCTGTTCCTGTTTCGGCCTCCTAGCTCAGCCCTGCATCCACACCCTCCAACCCAGGTTGCAGCCAGCAGGCAGAATCCCAGTCCCCAGTCCCAATTAAACAATAACACACTCAAAAAGAGGGGAAAAAATTACATTTTGAGGTGTTAGAGCAAATTTAGATATGAGGAAAGAGAAAAAACATAATAGCATAATAAATCTAATGCAGAAAATAATATCTTCTTGACTTTTGCGAGAAAACAACCATTTTCCATCAGGCTCTGTATCACCTGGAATCCTTATCACGTAGAAACATATAAAAATATACTAAGAAACACATGGCACGTCAAATTTGCTCATACATTAATGTCACATCCACAATGCTATCTATAATATCAGCTATAATACCAGCCACAGAAGAAAAAAACCTGTTCCCAAAGAAAATGCACAAAAATATGTTGCATGCACATCTGGTTTTAAATACTGTCTCAGCAAACCCAAAGTTTTAAACCAGTCTGTTTGTAACAGCTAAAACTACTTATAACCCTATTTTAATGAATGTCATAGAAGCTTTTTCTATATTTATTTCATTTCATATCACAGGATTTTACATCTTTTTTCAATGGTCCCTTTGTATACTTGGCCATTTTCTAATTTTAAACTGATTCTTCAACACTCAAGTTAAAAAAAAAATAATAAAAATTGCATTTTGAACAGAAGTATAAAACCCTAACAATTATTCATTTACTTCTATATAGTGCAGTATCGCCCTAGTCTTTCTGTGAACATGGATCCCACTTACAAAAATCCTTTATCACAGTTTCAGGTCCAGTTAGCTGCCTTCCAGAAATATAGATTAAGTACACAACTGTCGTTGTATGAGTTTCAAATGCACTGTGTATTTCTAAACATCACTCTGAGCTGCCTACTTGCTGTTCTTCAGTACACTCCAGTAAGCCAGCTTCAAAAGGATGAGCCCATTCACAAATGGAAGACTGAGTGCTCAGGACCAGTAACATACACTAATGGAAATATTTTTTCTCTCAATAGATTAAAGTTCTGAAGGAAAGAGATCCCTTACAGTGAAAGCTATTTTAATGGATTTATTTGACTTTTTTTGCCATTTATATACAAGATACCTAACCAAGCCTTGCGGTGACAAATAATTCAAAACACAAGATTGCTTTTGATCCACATACTTAGAAAAATGTCCAAGCAAAAAAGATGGGTATGAATTTATGAGTTTATACTCATTCATCTTCTAATACAAACATTATGAATGTAGTTTGGTTGACACCCACAAGTTTTGGCCTACCAGATACAGCCTTAGAATTATCCAAGAAAGCACCAGTCTTTAGGTTGGTTTTAAAAAATGAACTACCAGAGACAAATGCCTTTTGACAGGTGTCCTTCACTCAAGGGCCTGGTGCCTTTATTCATCTGCATCTTTATAGACTGGGATTTCTAAGCACAGCCTTTCTACTTAATCTTGTTAATACTTCCAAATCCCTTTTCATAAACTAAAGATCCAGTGTGAAATTTAGACAGTATTTAACTCCATCCATTTCATAATTACATAATGAGAACTTGCACAATGTTATTTCAAATATAAGTAGAAATAGGATCTTTCAAACTCTGACACAGGAACATCCACTCCAAACTACTCTATAACATCAGCAGAATACAGCAATCAAGAGTCTAGAAATTTTGAAATCCAGATCAATGTAAGATAAATTGTGTTGGTTTTTTTTTGTAACCGGGCTAAAAGAAGATTTATTTCTTTGCTGATGTTTCCATCACAAACAAAGTAACTCTTTGGCTCAAGGGGAATATAGGCATGCCTCAAAAATCCTGGCTTCAGCATTGAACAAGAGGAGAGAATCAATACTTTCCTTCTTAAATCATTTTCTACCACAGGAAAGCATAGCTATGGACAGCACAGATGGGTACTAGCAAACTGTAAAACGTGAACTCAGAAAAACAGACTTTTTTTTTAATTCTTACCATTCTGGGAGGGCACAATTCAGAATATTTTAACTTCCTAGCTTGCACTCAGAACTCTACCAATCACTTTATGACAAAACAATTCTTACAGAAGAACTGCAGCCAAAGAAAGCCTACCAAACCGAACAGTGAGAAGACCATGAGACATACCTTTAGAATGTTTTGTTTCATAACCCTGTTGTGTTTTCAAGGAGCGAGGTTCAGAACATGGAACAATCTTAGACTCCATTAGAGGAATTGTCTCTCTTGTGTGCTTGGACGGTGTGCTTTCATCTCTGTCCCCACTCAACCCCTGTGCCTTTGGAGAGAGTAACACTGGTTCTCCTCTATGCTGTAATACAAAAGTTTCTAAATGTGCATTTGCAGAGTTAATTTCTCTTATGTGCCTGTCATTGTTAATATGTAGTTCATTGGACTGCAACAATGCTTCTGTTTGATTAGCACTTGAGGTTTTGAATAAGTTATTAGATTCAACACTGCAGGAGCTTGCACGACTCACAGGAGATACACCAACAGAATGGCCAGTACTTTCCACAATATCCATTTCCCTCGCAGGAGCAGCAACAGGGTTAAAGAAGATCTGAGAGGTAGAGACATTGTGGCCAAAATCCTCTGCAAGCGGTGCTGCAGTCCCACTGCTGGGCAGAGCATCAACCTCCGAAACAGAATCCTCTGTCAGGGCGACAAAGTCAGAGGGGGTCTGGGCAGCTGTGAGGTCAGCTGAGAGCAGTGGGGACTGCAAGGAGCTTCCCATGCACTCTGTCACCTCGGCCGAACATGGAGGAGAGGACTTGGCAATCACCGGTTCACTTTCCACATATGATTTAACTTCCAGCACACACGTGGATTGCTGCACAGATGAAACTGACTGACTCTCTGGAACTGGTTTGGAAAATCTGTAGTGTGATGAGAAAGATTTAGTGAGAAGCTTTCGCGTGGATTGTTTGACAGAGTATCGGCACTGCTCCTCTGCAAAGCCTGAATCATCACCCTCATTATTACCAGAACTTATACAATTTATAAAGACATTCTTATTAGCTGAGGGCTCCTTTCCCTTTTCAAAATCATCTGTCAAAGACCTTGTTATCTTCTTGCTACGTGAGCTGCCAAAGCCAACTGAATGCCTTCCTTTGCTTTTAATGTGTTCCTCTAAGCTCAGTTTTTGGAATGCGTCAAGAGAGGACTGGGCACCGTTTGAGACAGCAACATTTTGAGTAGCCACATCAGGCTTCTGCTCACTCCCCTTCTTGTTATGGAAGCTAATGGAAGGAGTGCGGAAAATACTCCGGCGCTTGCCTGTGCTCCCTGAGCTGGAGTTCGTGCTGGATGGGGAAGAGGCGTGGACACCAATGGCATTAGCAGAAGAAGGTGAAGAAGGAAGGGAGTCGTGTCTCCGGCTAATACTTCTCCTGAATATTGGCAACCGAGATACTAGAGTTGATCGTCTGGATCCTGAGTCCCCCATCAGGGCACAAAGTGTCCGTGGGTCTTCGCAGACAATAAACTAATCTAGGATAAAAAGAGAAAAAAAAATAATAGAGGAAACAAAAAAATTATTTAGCCTCAAAGTCCCCTTGAACAGGTTTTAAGTCAGCCTAAATACATGAGATGCCAACAACCATTTTGTGATTTTATGATCAATTTTACATACAGCTGCAAGTTCGTGTACATGCATCACTGAACATTTTTAGAATTTCTAAGTGAGGTTCACTAGGCAGCACTGAAAACCCAGGAGCTGAGCAAAGACATAGCCCCAAACATTCTAGAGATGAGAGATACAGTATTATATTTGATATTTTATATACAAATATATCAGCCAAGGGTCCTTCTTTATCCAAGTTCTTAGAACAAGTCTGTAAGCTCTCTTTTTCATCATCTGAGGCGAACAAAACATTTTGTTACGTCCCTAAATACTCATATATTTTGCAAAAAAACAAGAGGATGTAAGTTTTCCAGTCTTCACTGAACCTTCTTTTGGATTTGAATTCCCTTATGTGCTCCTGATAAAGGCTGCAGTTACCACCTACCAGCAGAGAAAATGCTGGCATTGCAGTCAAGCTAAAATATGCACTACTAAAAATTCTTCCTGAGAACTTGTAAGTTCTAGGAATTTATTGTCAAAATATGGGATCATGTTTTTCAGTTTGAACATCAGTGGTTTCTTTGCACGCTTATCTGAAATCCTTGCAGCCTACTTGCTTATAATAAGCTGGTTTTGCAGTTCTTCGAAATTAGTGAAAAGTGTTTCAGACACTTGGCATTTTTTATAGGTATTTAAGCAATAAAAACTTATTTTTATCAGCACAGCACATACTAGAAGAAAATAATTCTTTATGCAATATATACCAGTTCCATCTCCTTTCTGTTCTCATTATAATAAACTACCACTGTGAGAAACAGGACCATGGAGAAAGAAACAACATCATGTGATATATAATCACTAGAACAAGAGAGACAATAGGCATAACGTCCAAGTGCAACTTCATGAGCTGCAAGTGTTCAGCACATAGGAATAAAAATCAGTTCATTTATCTAAACAATGGTTACAATGGTCGTACGTCAAGTGCAAAAACAAATTCATTCTTCCAATGAGCAATTTAATATGCATCATGTAGCTGCACAAATATCTATCAACAACATCTATATTTATACAGTGTATATAAACACACACACATAAAAATAAAACTGGGAACAAAATATTTAAGGAGTAATAAAACTACATATATGTTATATTGCTGGGAAAGAAAAGGTAGTAAGTTCAGAGACTATTTCTGACCAGACACTGAACTGCTCTTTCTGCATTGTTAACATTTTTTTTCTGAAAAGGTAGTACAGCCCCAGTCTGAACATGCACTGCCAAGCAGACACAATATTCACAAGCACCAGGAATCAGTAAGTAATTTTGTGGTTTAAGATGACGGTAACAGTCACTAATTCCTAGAAGCCATTGGTGACTAAGTAATTTTGTGGTTTAAGATGACAGAAACAGCTTGGGAACAGTCACTAATTCCTAGAAGCCATTGGTGATCTCTGATGACAAGCTAAAACCTGACCCAGGTCCTGAAATTGAAACCTAAATTTGAATTCACTCCAATGGTACAGGCTCTGATAACACAGGTATCAGAGTAACTTTACATCCACCAAAAAATTGATGCACAGCCAGTTGCTCCACATAAGGTGGTCTGCTTTTCCACCACTGTTGGAGCAAAAGGAGAGGCAACAGCACAGAGAAGCTGAGGCCCTCCATATTCGCACAGGGGTTTACGTTATACCAGCTTGCCCAGCTGCCCACAATTCAGCCTACTGAAAATGGGATTTGGCAAGTTGCATGCAATCCTCTCCACCTTCCCTGTATATGAACTTCTGTTGGTTCTTTAACCACTTCCACACCTACTGTGTTGAGGTTTTTTTGTTTTTGTGAACATGTACTTGCAGGCATGCTGATATGTATGGATATGCACATATACACAATGCAACTTTAGAGACTGTGAGGGTTCTTCCTTATATTTTAGGAAGACATCAATAATTGCTAAAAAAAGACTTCAAAATGCTGTTTTGCAACTGCAGTAGATGAGCAAAATGTTTATAAAATACTTTAAATTGCTATAATCAATTTATGCTCAGACAAAACATTGGCTACCATCCTTTGTCTCTCCTATCTAAACCTTAATTGCCAGTTCACTGGAGAACAAACCATCCTGGTCTATAATTATTGAATTCTCTGAGTTGAGAGCAGAAGGAAGCAGAAAGCTCAGCAAAAAGCACATATTCTAGCTTTTGCTGGAAATGTATCTAAATAACAATAGATTACTTCTAATAACTGACCCGTGAATATACAGAGCCTTAGCTTTCCAGGTGGCAACAACTTTTAATAGAATGCATTGCGTCTAACTGCAGACAACAAATTGATATTTATTAATTCATTTTTCCTTCCTTGCCTCTAGAAGGAAGAAGCACAAAGAAACTGTTAACATTTCTCTTACTGTCTAAGCAGCAGAAATCCTCACCCATAAAACATGAACTAACTACAGCACACTGTTCTTTTTAGGTCTATAATAGCTATCAGAGGACATTTCACAAAACACACACATCCACTTTCACATCCATACATACATATGCATACATTAATGTTTATGTGCATACACATTTTAAATCCTTTGAATGTTGTTAATATTTCATTAGTATTTTTATTATTTGCATATAGAATTTATGATAAATATGTACACAAACCTCCATAGAGGGGTACTTATACATGTGTGTATGTACATATAGATATAGAGAGAGATGGGTATTTAAAAGATACATAGATGTGGTGCTTAGGGACATGGCTTAGTGGTGGACTTGGTAATATATTAGATTATTGGTTTGACTTGATGATCTTAATATTCCTTTCCAACCAAAATGATTCTATGATTATAAACACATACACATATATACATGCACACAAATTTTGCAGTGTACAAGTTTAGCACTGAGTTCAAGTGACAATTCTACTTGTAATACAGAAAAAATAATATGTATTTGAAGATATTGATACCCTCAGATATTTCATTATTTAATTCACTTACTGCAGAGGAGTTATGAACTGCCACATGCCTGATTATGAACAAAATTGGAGGTCTTTCCTTTTAGTCTCCACATTTAATGTAATTACTTGTGCTTACCACTTTGTAGCAGTAATCCTTACAGAGTGAAATTCACTCCAACTACATTTCTCTACACAATCACTAATTTTCTGTATCTAAATCCTCATCCCAACTGGCATCATTCTTAAAAGCTGCAACAGAGGAAAAAGAAAACAGCAGAGAAAGACACCTGTGCAGTGGTATTACACCACTTCAGACAAGTCCTTCAAATCTACACTGGGCAACAATTCTGATCCTATACAGTAAACCTAGGACCTCATATCAAGATCCATGAATCTTAAAAGAAATAATGAGTTTTTACAATAATAGCAAGAAGACAAGTAAACAAGAAGTACCAAGGAAAAGTGTCAGCCTAATAATGCTTTTAATTAAATCAGGCTCCTTGTTTAGGACAAAATGTATTTTGCACCCCTGTCACATAATGTGACCAGTCAAAAAATACTTAGCACAGTGTTCTGCACAAACCATTAGTTTGTAATACACTTCAATTCTAACATCAAGTTATTCCTGAAACTGAAGTGTATACTTAGTGCTACAACAGAAAGAAATTCACATTTTGCTTTTTATGGAAGGGATTTTTTATACACATTTTTGCACCCGGTATTACAAAAAACAAAGTTTTATATATTGAAGGAAAACACGTGCACTATTTTGAAAACACCTAATTGTAACAAGAGTGATGGTAGATTATATCAGGTTCTGCTTTTCCTCAAGAGTTTGGCTATAGCTCACAGTTCCTTAGCTCCTGTGCCAAAACAAATGCAAGTGAAAAACAGGCAAAGTGCAAACAAAATGTTTGCTCCCTTATTAGCAATTTAAAGTTCATCAAATGGAAATAGTTTCCTTTCACCTTGGTCTGCAGCAAGATGTTGCAAAAGGTAAATTAATCTCAAGTATCTTAAAAGTCATGTATTTAAATTGCCAGAGAACACAAAGAAGCAAACTTTTTTATACTTGGAACTTATTCTTTCCACAGAGAAGATTTTTGGAAGAACCATCCAAGCATACAAGGTCTTTATCTTGCCTACAGTGCTTGTATAAAATACATTCAGAGTACGAAATACATATAATACAGGGTAAGAATTACACAAAAAGCTCTGCATTTTATCTATTATTGTATCTTGTCAAAAGAAACAAATTGCTCAACTTTCAAACAGTGAATGTAATAGAAAAAAGCCCACAAATGTTAAAACAAGTAAAATTGTCAAAACATTTCACCAGTGTCTCCAGAGAAATCTACTCTGTAAATCTACCAGCTGAAGAATAAAACCTAGTAGTTCTTATTTCTGCTTCTGCTGGGGAGTTACTCACACAAGCGTGCCAGAGTGCAATGTATTCAGTAAACAACTCTCACTGCTGATTTTGAACTCCAGTAGATGGAGCTACGGATCTACTTTTTCATTGACTACAAGTATGAAAAAGCAACTGTCTTGTGCCTTTTACATTTCTCATTGCCTTTGAGACAAAATTTAGAACTTGAAATTATTTGCGAATATTACCATTATCATAATTACATACCAAAATTACATTCCCAAGAGTTAATATATGCTTATTGAAGATAGAACTGTAACACATAGGCTAGTACAAACACTCCCTTTTATAAATAACCAACCTACTATTACCTCTCAAAACTTTTTAAACACAGCTTTCACAAAGATATATCTCCTAGAACTACCAAACAATATCTTCCACACGATGAACAAAACTGAATTAGCTATCCAAGTTTCAGTTGCGTGGATAACATGACACATACCTGAAAGGCCCCAACCTTAAATCAAAGAGCACAACGTTGATAACTTGTATGCTCCCTACCTCTCTC